AAACAAACCCTGACACTCTGACCAATGTGAGGAGAGTTTACTCGCACGTGACTTGTTTTAGCTGTTTTGGTCCGATTAGAAACTTTGCAGTGTGAAAGCGAACCGCTCCAAGAGCAAAGAGCAACAATGTAACAATTGTAATCTCTGTTTCAGAACAACTGAATCCATTCACAGGTGTGAAAGCACCCTTAGAAACTGCGAATAAGAAGCTGGATTCAGCCTCGTCCCTCCTTATCGCAAACACAACAGCAGTCTGGTAGTGATTGTGCTGCTTTTTTCAGGGTTAATTACTGTGAAATTGTAACGGTCGCTTAATGTTTGATTTGCGTTGTTTATAAATGTCATGTCCTCGCTAAGAGGACTTCTTCTGTGGTTGTTTTGCCTTTGAGATGTAAGCATGCATGTATGGGAGCTCAGTTCAGTTCTGGTGAGCTTTGAGAAGTGTGTGATAGTCGCTCTACCGCTGTATTATTTTTTATTTCAATAATGAACATTTATTGCGACGGATGTTTGAGTCTCTTTTTCTTTTCCTTTTTCCTACTCACCGTCAGTTTTGGTGAGCCTGTGTGAATTGTAGCCTCAGTTTCCTGTTCTTAGCTGACAGGAGCGGCACCCGGTGTGCTCTTCTGCTGCTGTAGCCCATCCGCCTCAAGGTTGGACGTGTTGTGTGTTCAGAGATGCTCTTCTGCAGAGCTCGGTTGTAACGAGTGCTTATTTGAGTTACTGATGCCTTTCTATCAGCTGGAACCAGTCTGGCCATTCTCCTCTGACCTCTGGCATCAACAAGGCATTTGTGCCCACAGAACTGCCGCTCACTGGATATTTCCTCTTTGTCAGAGCATTCTCTGTAAACCCTAGAGATGGTTGTGCGTGAAAATCCCAGTAGATCAGCAGTTTCTGAAATACTCAGAGCAGCCCGTCTGACACCAACAACCATGCCACATTTAAAGTCACTTAAATCCCCTTTCTTCCCCATTCTGATGCTCGCTTTGAACTGCAGCAGACCATGTCTACATGCCGAAATGCAGTGACCTGCTGCTATGCGACTAGCTAATTATACATTTGCATTAATGAGCAGTTGGACAGGTGTACCTAATAAAGTGGCCATGAGTGTATATTTTCTGAAAACCCAAATGAAGGAAAAGCAGCCAGTAATATTAACATGTACACTTGTTAGATATGCATATTTCAGTCAGTGTTTAACTGATGTATTGTAAAGTTTCACACATAAACACATGAGCTGTAGGAGTGGAGAGATTATTTTATTACTTAAAATTATGTACAGGTTTTATCCATGAGAAATAACGGAACATTTGACTATATGTACAATTTATTTTCTTTACATGATGTCTTTACAAGAAGCCTTTAAAAAATACTGAATAGCGAATACATGGGAAAAATAGACACATACAAATGAAGCTTTGCAACACACACATAAATAAATATCAACATTCACTGACTGCCGCAAACAATATCTCTACAGCCAAGAACATATACAGTATAGGTCATCTCATCACAACACACGTTAGGTATTTATTTCAATAATAAACAAAACACTCTGTTAATCTTTAATGGGATATTGATCAAATATTAATAAGAGGCGACAAAGATGGATGATTGCTTGCCTAATTAAAACAAACCCAAAACTGGAAATAATTAAGCCATTATTATTAAATCATCTATATAATAATAAACAATCTGTCTGCTGTTATGAGCTAGACCAGTGTTTCTCAACCATGTTCCTGGAGGAGCACCAGCTCTGCACATTTTCCATGTCTCCTTATTCAAACACACCTGCTTCAGATCATCAGCAGAGACCGAAAACCTGTAATGGGTGTGACAAAGGAGACATGCAAAACATGCAGTGCTGGTGGTCCTCCAGGAACGTGGTTGAGAAACACTGTGTTTCTTAAATGTAGTTCTGTCAAACAATCACATTAAAAAAAAGTTTGTATTTATAAAACAAAAATATACATGCGCGTGTACTTCTTATATAACTACACATATTATTGTAAAAATGATGTGCGTCCTTCTGTATATTTTTGTACTCTATGAGCATTTATATATTCATTCGTTAATTTTCCTTCCGCTTAGTCTCTTATATATCAGGGGTCGCCACAGCAGAATGAACCGCCAACTATTCCAGCATACACAGCAGATGCTCTTCCAGCCTCAACCCAGTAGTAAACACTTATACACACTCATACACTACTTAGTTCATCAATTCCCCTATAGTGCTTGTGTTTGGACTGAGGAGGAAACCTACGCCAACAAGGGGAGAACATGCAAACTCCACACAGAAACGCCAACTGACCCAGCCAGAACTCGAACCAGTGAACTTCTTGCTGTGAGGCTACAGTGCTAACCACTGAGCCACCATGCAGCCGTATTTATAAATACACATTGTAAATACACACAGTACGCACACACATATCTTATAAATAGTGTGTGTATGTAGGTTGTATATAAGTAGCTTGATGTAAGCTTATATTTTTACATGCTTATCGGTGCATATTTTATTTACTTGAAACTATTTTGTGGATTATATTTAGAAAAATTAGTTATACATTTTTATTCATTTTGTATTTAATGTATATATGTGAAATGTCTGCAATAATTTAATATTGGTTGTGCATTGCTGAAAATAAAATAAACCTCAAACCTCAAATACAAACTTTTATTATGACGTAATTAACTGTTTGACAGCACTACTCAAAAGTATCCTCAAAACCAATGATCTCCGCATTCTTCATCATGCTTTTGGGAAACACAGAGCTCATTTTGAACACTTGCTGAATATAAAAGAGAAAAAGATTGTTCATAACAAGTGTTTGGAAGAACAAGAGCATGAGAAAATACTTACAGTATAGAGTGTTTTCATGATGCATCGACCGTCAGCCATATTAGAGGCACAGAATGTAAACAAAGCCACTGAACTGAGGGAAATTGGCATATTATAGTGATTATTACTGCTGGAAATTATCAATTAGTGACATATTTTGGGCTGAACTAATTGCTCAAAAAGTTTGAGATCTCAAAAAGCGATCGAGAAAAAACAACTTAGGTGTGATCAGTCGGCCACATTGGAGGCGCAGAATGTAAACAAAGCCACTGAACAGAGCTAAACTCTTATTATTGTGATTATCACTGCTGAAATTGATCAATTATTAACATTTTGGACTGCACTAATTGTTTACAATGAAAAAAAACATTTATAGTACTATAGACCAATTAAAGTTCTAACAAACCGAGCAAAAGAGAAAAAACGAATGAGGTGTCATCCGTCGGCCATATTGGAGGCGCAGAATGAAAACAAAGTCACTAAACTGAGGGAAACTCACATTTTATGGTGATTATTACTGCTGAAAATAATCAATTATTGACAGATTTTGTGCTGAACTAATTGCTAAAAAAAGTTTAACAAATCAAGCAAAAGAAAGAAAAAACAAATGAGGTGTGATCAATCGGCCATATTGGAGGCATAGAATGTAAATAAAGCCACTAAACAGAGCTAAACTCATATTATAGAGATTACAACTGCTGAAAATTATCAATTACTGTCATATTTTGGACTGAACTAATTGTTTATAATGAAAAAAATACATTTAGAGTACTATAGACCAATAAAAGTTCTAACAAAGCAAGCAAAAGAGAGAAAAAAATGAATGACGTGTCACCAATCAGCCATATTAGAGGCAGAACATGTAAACAAAGCCACTAAACAGAGCGAAACTGATGTATTATGGTCATCATTACTGCTAAAAATGATCCATTACTGACATATTTTGGGGTGAACTAATTGTTTACAATGAAAAAAAAGCATTTAGAGCACTATAGACTTACAAAAGTTCTTACAAATCAAGCAGAAAGGAGATAGAAACGAATGAGGTGACATCGGTCGGCCATATTGGAAGCACAGAATGTAAACAAGGCCACTGAACAAAGCTAAACTCATAATATGGTGATTACTACTGCTAAAAATGATCCATTATTGACATATTTTGGACTAAAACTAATTTCTCACAATGAAAAGAAAAACATTTAGAGTACTATAGACTTTTAAAAGTTCTAACAAACCAAGCAGCAAAGAGAAAAAATGAATGACGTGTCACCAGTCGGCCATATTGGAGGCAAAAAAATATAAACAAAGCCACTGAACAGAGCAAAAATCCAATATTAGGGTGATTATTATGGCTGAAAATGAACAATTATTGATATTTTTGGGCTCACAAAAAACAAAAAAACCTATTTATAGTACTATAGACTTATAAAAATTACAACAAATCAAGCAGAATAGAGAAAATCCGAATCACGTGTCATCAGTCGGCCATATTGGAAGCAAAATATTAAGGGGGTAATGATAATAAAGTCAACTTACTCTACTTAAAAGAAAATGTCTTAATAGAAAATGTCACCCAAAAATGTCTATAGTTTATTATTTACCATATGTTTGAGTAATAACAATAATAATACTCTCTTTTTTTCGTATACAATATCAAGATAACATCAAGAGTACAGTATTGAGATGCATATAAAATCGTGACTTGAGTGCATCGTTACACCTCAAATATTAATTAATATTTTGATTATACGAATTATAAGTGTTTTTACCACTATTTAAATTCAGTTTGTCTGAATATTGTCTGCTTCGCTGCTCACTTCTCTTTAGGATTTATCAGTTTCTCAGTGGTTTAGACAGCAGAAATATTCAGTTTTATTCAGTAGATTAACTGTTCACAGCAAGAAGGTCGCTGGTTTGAGCCTTGGCTGGGGTCGCTGGGTCGAACATCAGCTCAGTTGGCATTTCTGTGTGGAGTTTGCATGTTCTCCCTGCGGTTGCGTGGGTTTCCTCCGGGTACTCTGGTTTCCCCCACAGTCCAAACACATGCGGTACAGGTGAACTGGGTAGGCTAAATTGTCCGTAGTGTATGAGTGTGTGTGTGAATGAGTGTGTATGGATGTTTCCCAGAGATGGGTTACAGCTGGAAGGGCATACGCTGCGTAAAACGTGCTGGATAAGTTGGTGGTTCATTCCACTGTGGCGACCACGGATTAATAAAGGGACTAAGCCGAAAAGAAAATGAATGAATGAATGAATTCAGTCATGCTGTCGTTTACATCCAAGTCTCTCCAGTACGGCTGTGCATACGGGGATGAAACACAAATGAAAACACTCTATAAGTGAATGTTTGATGATAACCGAGTATTTCTCTACAGCTGAATGACTCAATTCTTCCATTCAAATAAAACTGGATTTCTTGCGGTCTGGGCAGGTTGGGATTCGTCTTCCCAAGGTGATCTTAACTTGCAGAAACGGTGTAAATCCGGACATGAAACGGTGCTGCAAGAGTTTGGGTTTTGCGATGAAAACCGTAGAGAATTAAAAAGTCTTGTGTTTTCCTGCTGGTTTCAGTGTTTCTCTGCTGAAGACTTCTTATGGTGCTGTTGATGAAGACGAGTTTCTGCCAGGAACAAAAACACATCTCCATTATAGATGAAACATCACCGCATCCCAACTATTAATGTGAACGATCCATGCAACACTGCATGAAAATGGCAAGATGAATGAAAAATGTGCGCAAATTATGATTGAAATACATTTACACAATAAATTGTGTCATTTGACGCTTATTTGGTATTTTAAAGGGTGTTAATAATGTGATTTGAGTCTCCTACAGCAGGTTTAAGCGCATCTAACTCAGAATATGCATGTAATATGAATCATTTTCATCACTTTGATATAATTTATTTGCTTCAATTCCCTCTGTAAGCCCCTCCCCCTTCCAAAAGGAGAAGCTCTGATTGGTCAGTTGAGCTAAGTGCGTTTTCATTGGCTTTTCCATGTCGGAAATCAAATCATTTTAGAGTGTATGTTGCGGGGGCGGAGATTATGCAAATGAGTTACTTTTAGCATGTTGATGCCGGCAGCTAGCTCTCTGCAACTCACATGGACGCCCACTGAAGCTTTTGTTTCGCTCACATGGTCGCCCGGTGAGTACCTGGATGGGAGACCACATGGGAGAGCTAGGTTGCTGCCAGAAGTGGTGTTAGTGAGGCCAGCAGGGGGCGCTCAACCTGCAGTCTGTGTGAGTCCTAATATCCCTGTATAGTGACGGGGACTCTATACTGCTCAGTAATCGCCGTATTTCAGATGAGATATTAAACCGAGGTCCTGACTCTCTGTGGTCGTTAATGCCCCATTCACACGGGGCTTCAGCGTCAACGCTTGACTGAGGGCGTGTCTGAAGTTGGGGCTGACGTGATCGTCATAGCAGGATCAGGCACTGAAATTAGTCAGCAATAGGCCACTGTCTGAGCTGGTGTATTTGCATACAGAAAACTGATTGGCTGACGCTTCCGTCAACGCTTGAAAAGTTGAGCAAGTCGTTGAACTTTTGCATTGAGCAAAGCCTCTGAAGTGGCGCAGACGGATCCACAATGCAGTTTGGCAACGCCTGACATCACCCATTCAAAGTGAATGGGAAGCGTTGACGCTGATGCTCCGTGTGAATGGGGCGTAAAAATCCAAGAATGTCTCTCGAAAAAAAGAGTAGGGGTTTCACCCCGGCATCCTAGCCAAATCTGACCTCTGTCCATCATGGCCTCCTAACCCTCCCCATGTCATAATTGGCTTCAACACTCTGTCTCCTCTCCACCAATCAGCTTTTGTGTGGCGCAATATGGCTGCTGTCGCATCATCCAGGTGGATGCTGCATATTGGTGGTGGATGAGGAGATTCCCCCCTTTGTGTAAAGCACTTAGAGTGTCCAGAAAAGCGCTGTATAAAAGTAAGGAATTATTCATTATTATTATTATGTAAACCAACTGATAATAATTGGACAAACCAGCAGGCCAATCTCAATCCCTGTGATCAAAACGATTCAGCTAAATAGCTTCCAAAACTGTGTTCTGACATTATTCTGAACACATTAGCAATTGCTGGTGTCATTTGAGGGTATATTAAAATGTCCTAAAATTAATCTATGCCCACCTATAATATATATTTTATGTAATTTATTATAAACATGTAATAAACTATTATTATATGTAACTATTATTATTTAATATATACATATAATAAATACAACAAACTAGTCATAAATAAACACAATGGAGCAAATATCAAAGTGGAAAAAAAACGTTTTTAAAAGTAAAATAACACTGTATAGTCTTCATCATATAAATAATTCAATAAAATGAATCTTTATTAAACTTCTTTATGCACTACTGCAATGCTTTAAACTCTGTTCAAATGCTCACACAGTCACGAGCATTAAAAACACATGCAGATGATAAACCTTCACTCTATTATGGTTAAATTCTGCAGCATCTCCACAAATCTCCAGTGTTTTGACCTGTGGTTTCAGGTCATCTATAGCCCCAACTCAACAGTGCATATCCTGCGATGTGACTATTGTGGATGCACACATTGCGATATCCATGCTCAAACCATATACTGTGCAGCCCAACACTGAACTGAACTAAAGTGAACTTCAACTACTTTCAATGAACTGAAACTTCATCTGTGTTGAGCTGCGTTGACACAATCTACATTGTAAAAGTTTTATATAAATAAACATGAACTGAATGGCAGTCTACTGTCAAATGTTGACTGATGAAGTGTGTTTTCTGTAAGTGTGTGTTCTCTTACTTCGGCTGGGCGTCTGGAAGATCTTCTTTATCGCCGGCCCTAACCCTAACCCTTCTCCAGCTGTGGTGATGACCTGAACCTCCAACCTGTAGACGGAGGCCGGACGGAGGTTCCACACCACCAGCAGGTTACGATTCTGACACACACACACACACACACACACACACACACACACACACACACACACACACACACACACACACACATACACATACACACACACATACACACACACATACACATACACACACACACACACACGGATTCAGATGATGGAGATCAGATTCTAATGACTGCAGTTGTTTATTATCACAGCTTTAACACTTCAATAAAGTTCCATTGGTTATGCAAGGGATAAAGTACATCCAGAAGGCTGTTGTCGCAGATTATTACATGGCTGTCTGGAATACTTGATTTTGATTGGTCAGTCTCGACATTGCATAGTAACAATCGTTGAATGACACGGACTCATTACTGAGAATCACCTCGACCGTCAGTGAATCCAAATATTTATATCCACATTCATATGCATGTGCCATATGTTTGGCGCCATCTAGTGTCTGAATAATGCGCAGGTTAGTGTATACTCCATCAGCTGTTTTAGTTTCTGTTGTGTTTTTGACTGTTTGGCGCCATCTAGTGTCTGAATAATGCACAGGTTAGTGTATACTCCTTCAGCTGTTTTAGTTTCTGTTGTGTTTTTGACTGTTTGGCGCCATCTAGTGTCTGAATAATGCACAGGTTAGTGTATACTCCTTCAGCTGTTTTAGTTTCTGTTGTGTTTTTGACTGTTTGTCTCCATCTAGTGTCTGAATAATGTGCAGGTTAGTGTATACTCCATCAGCTGTTTTAGTTTCTGTTGTGTTTTTGACTGTTTGTTTCCATCTAGTGTCTGAATAATGTGCAGGTTAGTGTATACTCCATCAGCTGTTTTAGTTTCTGTTGTGTTTTTGACTGTTTGTTTCCATCTAGTGTCTGAATAATGCACAGGTTAGTGTATACTCCATCAGCTGTTTTAGTTTCAGTTGTGTTTTTGACTGTTTGTCTCCATCTAGTGTCTGAATAATGCACAGGTTAGTGTATACTCCATCAGCTGTTTTAGTTTCTGTTGTGTTTTAGACGGTTTGTCTCCATATAGTGTCTGAATAATGTGCAGGTTAGTGTATACTCCTTCAGCTGTTTTAGTTTCTATTGTGTTTTTGACTGTTTGTCTCCATCTAGTGTCTGAATAATGCGCAGGTTAGTGTATACTCCTTCAGCTGTTTTAGTTTCTATTGTGTTTTTGACTGTTTGTCTCCATCTAGTGTCTGAATAATGTGCAGGTTAGTGTATACTCCATCAGCTGTTTTAGTTTCTGTTGTGTTTTTGACTGTTTGTCTCCATCTAGTGTCTGAATAATGCTCAGGTTAGTGTATACTCCATCAGCTGTTTTAGTGTCTGTCAGCTTTGTGTTTTTAACTGTTTGTCTCCATCTAGTGTCTGAATAATGCGCAGGTTAGTGTATACTCCATCAGCTGTTTTAGTTTCTGTTGTGTTTTTGACTGTTTGTTTCCATCTAGTGTCTGAATAATGTGCAGGTTAGTGTATACTCCATCAGCTGTTTTAGTTTCTGTTGTGTTTTTGACTGTTTGTTTCCATCTAGTGTCTGAATAATGCGCAGGTTAGTGTATACTCCATCAGCTGTTTTAGTTTCTGTTGTGTTTTTGACTGTTTGTTTCCATCTAGTGTCTGAATAATGTGCAGGTTAGTGTATACTCCATCAGCTGTTTTAGTTTCTGTTGTGTTTTTGACTGTTTGTTTCCATCTAGTGTCTGAATAATGTGCAGGTTAGTGTATACTCCATCAGCTGTTTTAGTTTCTGTTGTGTTTTTGACTGTTTGTCTCCATCTTGTGTCTGAATAATGCACAGGTTAGTGTATACTCCATCAGCTGTTTTAGTTTCTGTTGTGTTTTTGACTGTTTGTTTCCATCTAGTGTCTGAATAATGCACAGGTTAGTGTATACTCCATCAGCTGTTTTAGTTTCTGTCAGCTTTGTGTTTTTGACTGTTTGTCTCCATCTAGTGTCTGAATAATGTGCAGGTTAGTGTATACTCCATCAGCTGTTTTAGTTTCTGTTGTGTTTTTGACTGTTTGTCTCCATCTAGTGTCTGAATAATGCACAGGTTAGTGTATACTCCATCAGCAGTTTTAGTTTCTGTTGTGTTTTTGACTGTTTGTTTCCATCTAGTGTCTGAATAATGTGCAGGTTAGTGTATACTCCATCAGCTGTTTTAGTTTCTGTTGTGTTTTTGACTGTTTGTCTCCATCTAGTGTCTGAATAATGTGCAGGTTAGTGTATACTCCATCAGCTGTTTTAGTTTCTGTTGTGTTTTTGACTGTTTGTTTCCATCTAGTGTCTGAATAATGTGCAGGTTAGTGTATACTCCATCAGCTGTTTTAGTTTCTGTTGTGTTTTTGACTGTTTGTTTCCATCTAGTGTCTGAATAATGTGCAGGTTAGTGTATACTCCATCAGCTGTTTTAGTTTCTGTTGTGTTTTTGACTGTTTGTTTCCATCTAGTGTCTGAATAATGTGCAGGTTAGTGTATACTCCATCAGCTGTTTTAGTTTCTGTTGTGTTTTTGACTGTTTGTCTCCATCTAGTGTCTGAATAATGTGCAGGTTAGTGTATACTCCATCAGCTGAATAATGCGCAGGTTAGTGTATACTCCATCAGCTAAATAATGTGCAGGTTAGTGTATACTCCATCAGCTGTTTTAGTTTCTGTCTGTCTCATGCTGAACGCAGTCGACCAATCGCAACAGACTGGGCTATCGGCCAATCACCGCAGATTAGTTTCGCGCAAAGGAGGGGTTTGGGAACAAATGCATCGCTGAATGATTCATATGGGAGTTGTTGGGATAATTAGATAAAAATTAATGCATATTATGAGACAATATAAGTGTTTTTTGACGTTGCACGCATATCAGCCTGTTGCTGTAGACCCTTACAACCAAAATACGTCCTTTTATAATGCAGAATAGGGGATCTTTAAAAAAAATTATTTGCAACATCAGAAAATGCTGAATTTAACATTCAGCAAGATTAATATATACTTTAAAAATAGTTTCATTGTTAGTTTCGTTGTTAGTCATGTTACCGATCCCCTCTGAAAATCCAAGAAGTGGGTTATATTTGAATTAACCTAGTGAAAATTATTATTTCTGTCTAATTATTCGTCAATAACATTATCTCAGTTTCTCTGTTCAGATTATTGAGATCAGATTAATGATAATAATCAGACGCAGATGTTTTGACGTGTTTATTATGAGCTCATTTGAAGAAGAACGGTGAAATCATTATAAACATCACAGATTCGCCATCGTTTATAGATGAATCCAATCTGATAATGACGGCCAGCTCCAACATTCTGTCAGATCTAAAGACGAAAACTGAACTTTCGTGTTTCTCACTTGATTGACTCTATTAAATCTTCAGCTCAAAGACATGAATATGAAATATAGGGTTATGAGGACTGTTTGTTCTAGATCCGCTCAATGTTTGACAGCACTGAAGTAAGAGGAAAAAAATTGAGCTCGAAACGACACTCCGTCCATGAGAACATGCTAATAATTACCATATGAACACTAATAATGCTAATAAATCTCCACATGATGGGCTTCAAGATAAACCTTCCCATGAGGATGAAGCCAAAAGTGATATCTCAGATAGTCTTATCGACTATTTTTCGTAACTTCTAATGTCACGTAGACAGTGAAAACGTCAGTATTTTTGTTGTCTATAATTGAATATAGGATGACATGGTGACTCAGTGGTTAGCAGTGGTTACCATAATACATCATCTATTATGTCATATAAAGTAATATATGTAGTTGCATATGTGTTCTTCTTCTGTAGTTATAACTATATACATAACAACATTTAATGCATTTAAAATACAATTAAATGATTTTTTAATTATCATATAATGACATACAAATGCATGTGTTAAAAGGGTTGATTTGAGGAGTGTGCAAGAACAGCCTCAGAGTCTCAGCGCTGCATCCATCAGCTGTGATTGTGTATCATATGTTACACTTTTGGCCTTGAATATGTAAACAGTTTTCGGTGAGTGCTGTGTGTGTGTGTGTGTGTGTGTGTGTGTGTGTGTGTGTGTGTGTGTGTGTGTGTGTGTGTGTGTGTGTGTGTGCGCGCTGCTTAGAACTAAGTAGTACTGTAAAATGTAACCTGGATCATCTAAACCTAAACGAGCACATGTCACTCCGCTGCTAGTCCGTTTGCACTGGCTGCCAGTTGCTGCTCGCATCAAATTCAAAACTCTGATGTTTGCCTACAAAGTGACTTCTGGCCTAGCACCTTCTTATCTGCACTCACTTCTGCAGATCTATGTGCCCTCCAGAAACTTGCGTTCTGTGAATGAACGTCGCCTCGTGGTTCCATCCCAAAGAGGGAAAAAATCACTTTCGCGAACGCTCACGCTCAATCTGCCCAGTTGGTGGAATGAACTCCCTAACTGCATCAGAACAGCAGAGTCACTCGCTATTTTCAAGAAACGACTAAAAACTCAACTATTTAGTCTCCACTTCACTTCCTAAGCTGCAATTGCCTCTTTGAATATCACACTAATTGTCCAAAAAAAAAAAAAAAAAAAAAAAAAAAAAAACTACTAACACTTCCCTTCTTAGACTTTACAGACCTGAAACTTGCCTTTAGTACTTATTCATTGTTGCTCTTATAGTTGTGTAAATTGCTTCCTTGTCCTCATTTGTAAGTCGCTTTGGATAAAAGCGTCTGCTAAATGACTAAATGTAAATGTAAATGTAATCAAATCCCAAAAATCAAATGCATGTAATTAGAGATTGCATAATTACGTATAGTTTGCAAAAATGGCAGTAAGTTGTTTTATCAATACATTTTTAAAGCAGTTTATGCTACCGTAAAAGTAACCTAAATGTAATCCAAAAGTAGTCAGATTAAGCTAAATTAAAAGCAAACAAACTGTAATTCAAAAGCGGTCAAAGTGTTATCACGAATTAATCTACTGTAAATGTAATTCAAAATTTGTCAATTACACTACAATAAAAGTAATATAAATGTAATCCAAAAGTAGTCAGATTAAGATACCCTAAAAGTAATCTAAATGTAATCTAAAAGAGTTCAGAGTGTGCTGCCAAAAGGCACAGTAATTGTTATCTAAAAGTAGTCAGATTACGCTAGCATAAAAATAATTTAAATCCAAAAGAAGTCAGATATCACTCTTGTAAAAGTAATCTAAATTTAATCCAAAAGTAATCTGATAGATCTATTATAAAAGCAAGGTAATTGTAATCCAAAAGTAGCCCGATTACACTACAATAAAGGTAATCTAAATGTAATCCAAAAGTAACCGGATTAAACTCCCATAAACGTAATCTAAAAGTTCTCAGATTACACCACCATAAAAGTAATCTAATTGTAATCCAAAAGTAGTCAGATTTCACTCCCATAAAAGTAATCTAAATAAATCCAAAAGTAATCTGATCGCTCTATCATAAAAGCAATGCAATTGTAATCCAAAAGTAGTCAGATTACACTACAATAAAAGTAATGTAAATGTAATCCAAAAGTAACTGGATTAAACTCCCATAAAAGTAATTAACTGTAATCCAAAAGTAGTCAGATTTCACTCCCATAAAATAATCTAAATAAATCCAAAAGTAATCTGATCGTTCTATCAAAAAAGCAATGCAATTGTAATCCAAAATTAGTCAGATTACACTAAAATAAAAGTAATTTAAATGTAATCCAAAAGTAACTGGATTAAACTCCCATAAAGGTAATTAACTGTAATTCAAAAGTAGTCAGATTTCACTCCCATAAAAAAATCTAAATAAATCCAAAAGTAATCTGACTGCTCTACCATAAAAGCAATGCAGTTGTAATCCAAAAGTAGTCAGATTATGCTACAGTTAAGGTAATCTAAATGTAATCTAAAAGTAGTCAGATTATACCACCACAAAAGTAATCTAATTGCGATCCGAAATTGCTCAAATTTCACTCCCATAAAAGTAATCTAAATGTAATCCAAAAGAACTCAGATTACACCACCATAAAAGTAATTTAAATTAAATTCAAAAGTAATCTGATCGCTTTATCATAAAAGCAATGCAATTGTAATCAAAAAGTAGACAGATTACACTACAATAAAAGTAATCTAAATGTATTCCAAAAGTACTCAGATTATACCACCACAAAAGTAATCTAATTGTAATCTAAAAGTCAAAAAGTAGTCTGATTATGCTACAATAAAAGTAATCTAAATGTAATCTAAAAGTAGTCAGACTGTGTTGCCATAAAAGTAATCTAATAGTAATCCAAAAGTAGTCAGATTAAGCTACCATAAAAATAATCTAAATGTAATCCAAAAGTAGTTGGATTTCAATCCAATAAAAGCACTGTAATTGTATTTCAAAAGTAGTCAGATTTCGCTACTATAAAAGTAATTTAAATATAATCCAAAATTAGTCAGATGAAGCCACCATAAAAGTAATCTAAATGTAATCTAAAATACTCCGATACATCACCATAAATGTGTAATTTAATAGATATATTACTGATTATGCATCTCGTCATGTTTTCGTCAAGTAATTTGCCGTCAGTAATTTCTGTGATTACGGTTCAGAAGTAATCCAAGTAATGTTTTGTGGACTCACCGGCGGCAGGATCTGCGACTGAGAGATGATGCTGTTTGGAAGGCTGTTCTGACGGCTCTCTGTGGAAACCTCCGCCCATGTGACCTGGAAGCCTGTGATTGGCTGGTGAGGCTGATGATGCGACACGCTCCACACGAAACTAGCCGTCACGTTACCGTCGTGGAAGCTGAAGGACGCTGTCAGATTTTCAGGCTTCGCCAAAACCTTCACAGGAGCTGCAGGATTAAAGTACACATGAAATCAAGTCTAGCCATAAAGAGTTTGTTAGCTCACATCGCTAGTTTTGTGCTGAACAATTCATCTGTGCATTTCATTAAATTAAAATGAAATTGAAAATGTACTTCCTGTTTGTTTAAGTTAAATTCTCAGATTAGGTCTGTCTGGGGTATTGGGCGTGGTTAACATACTTAACCACGCCCCTCCAGCTGTCAGTTTTGACATCGCTTTGAGAACAAAAAGAAATGCTGCGCAGGAGGAGTCTGTTAGGTTGTTATATTGCCGCAGTCACACTAGAGCTTGAGCGTGCGAAATTCTGTCGTATAGCCCTATAAAAAGTGGCGGGATTACACAAGATTTGACATTTAAAAAGCGAGGGACTGGTCCATATTTTAAATTTCTGTCCAGAGAGGTCATTCTTTGACCATTCATTGGTCTCACGAAGTCAAGTGATGAGATTTGGCAGGTCAGAGTTCAACAAGCTTGAACTTTGCAACACAGCGATCTGTGAAACTTGTAGCACAAGCTTGCATTTCCAGTCAACGGCCTCGTGCCAACGTACACCTCCCACCAGTGCTGATAAACAATATATAAATTTAATCATATATATATATATATATATATATATATATATATATATATATATATATATATATATATATATATATATATATATATATATATATATATATATATATATATATATATATACACTCACCGGCCACTTTATTAGGTACACCTGTCCAACTGCTCGTTAATGCAAATTTCTAATCAGCCAATCACATGACAGCTCAATTTAGGCATTTAGACATGGTCAAGACGATCTGCTGCAGTTCAAACTGAGCATCAGAATAGGGAAGAAAGGGGATTTAAGTGACTTTGAACGTGGCATGGTTGTTGGCGCCAGACGGGCTGGTCTGAGTATTTC